TCACTTAGACCTCAATTCACCAAGAAATAGGTGGAGGCGAGAATTATAAAGAAAAATTTTTGGCTAGGCTTAAAGGGTTTTCTCAAAATATGCTTATCATGGAAAATTTTCTTTCGTGCATTATAAATCTTGGCATTATCATAGGCTTCATTCCTAAGTTCTTGTAGTTCAAAAATTTGAAGCCTTCTAGATACCACTACCACTTCTAAATCAAAATTCATTGTTTTAATTACCCAATATGCTCTATGTTTTAGTTTAACAGTCAAGTGACAAGGTTTCCTATAAACCACCCTCTAAGGAGACATACCCAAAATTGTTTTAAAAGAGGTACAATAGGCCCATAATGCATCAATCAGTCTTAAAAACCAATCTTTGCGGTCAGGGTTAACCCTTTTTTCTATAATTTGTTTTATCTCCTTATTAGCAAATTCAACGTAATCACTTGTCTAGGGATGGTAGGGAGCTGCAACCTTATGAGTTATGGAATAATTGTTTACGAAATTTTTTAAAAATCAGTTGTAAAAATGAGATCTCCCATCACTAATAATGGCTCGACGTATTCCAAATCGTGACCAAATATATTGTTTTAAAAACTTCACCACACTATGATGATCATTATTATAGCAGGGAATAGTCTCAACCCATTTAGAGATATAATCAAATGCAACTAAAATATATAAATAGCCAAATGACTGGGAGGAAGGGTCCCATAAAATCTATGTCTCAACAATCAAATATTTCTATTATAAGTATTGGTTTTAAGGGTATCATATTTTTTCTTGAAGTATCCCCAGCCATTGGCATCTATAACATGCTAAACAAAAGGCCTGGGTATTTTGAAAAAGTGTGGGCCAATAGAATCCAAACTGTAAATTTATTTTAGTGATTTGCCTTTAAGAAAAATTGTGGCCACAAGCTTCAGTATGACAAAAGTTAATTACACTAACCATCTCTTCATTGGGTACACATCACCTAATAGTTTGATTCTTATAGTACTTGAACAAATAGGGATCATCTCAAAAGAATTGTGTACCTCAAACAAAAATTTCTTTTCATCTAAAGAACTAAAAGAAGAAGGGAGCGTACCCATGGTTATATAATTTGTAATATTAGCATACCATGGTAACTCTAAAACCTCAAACAACTTCTAATCGAGAAAGCACTCATTAATTGGCAAGTTCTCATCATGAAACACATATGTCAATCTTGAAAGATAATCAACCACAACATTCTCCAATGAATTTTTATCCTCGATGGTCATGCCAAATTTCTAAATTAGGAGCATTCATCTAAGAAGTTGTTGTTTGGCTTTCCTTATTGGTTAGCAAATACTTTAAGGTTGCATGGTCAGCAAAAATAGTAACTGAAAAACCAATGAAATATGAATGAAATTTATCCAAGAAAAAAATAACAAGTATCTCTTTTCTATTGGTAGAATAATTCATTTGAGACCTGGCACCAACTTTGTAGAAAGGTGCATCTAGATGGAACAAATATTGTAAAACCCTGGGTAAATTTAAACTGTTTTGGAAAAAGGGCAAAATGGTAATGTGCCACTATAATGCGGGTTTAAAATCAATATTTTTCTAGAGCTCGGATGATTCAAAGGACCTCACCATTGAATTCGTATCACGAAGTCGAGCCACCATGTCAAATTTTATTGAATTCTGAGATAGTCAAATTTTGCACATTTTCCGAGATAATTCGAGTGACGAATGACCTCACAAAGGTCCCCAAAAATGAAATTTATAAAATTTCCTTATAATTAGATAAAATGTCAAATAAATTTTATGTGAACTGAAACTGAGAATTAATTAAGTCGTTTCGGGTTAAAAACGGACCTGGAAGTAGTAAATGAGCGAGGCAATGTGACCGCACAATTAAAGGTATAAATAGGGGTTAAATATCTGAAAAATCAGATATTGCACACCCTTAGGTCAGCTGAGTTCCAACGTTGAAGAAGAGAGAGAGAGAGAAAAGAGAGAAAACCTAGAATTTCTACCTTTCTCCTTCTATCCAAGAAGCTCCATCAGTTGGAATTGCTTGGACCAAGAACTAAAGTTAGTCTATGCGACGAGGGCTATGCGTACGTACCAAGAACGAGAGATTTCACCAAAGATCCAAAAAGAGGATTTTAGAAAATCAAAGCCTTGGTTTACAATTTTTGGTATTAGCCTAGGTTTATAGGTTCTATAGACATGGGTGTCTAGGTCATTAGTGGATAGGTTAAGGTGATCAAGTTAGTGAGTAGAGATGTGTCTAATGTGATAATGGTAAGTGACTGTGTCTTGCTTATGTTGTAAAGTACAGCTAAAGTGTTGGCAGTGTGATGGATCCTCCCGAGGGTTAGAATTAAGGGGAAGGTGAAGGTTCCCATGCTTTTGCTATGGCTAAGACAAGAGATAGACAACAACATGAGGGCAGAGAAGGTGAACAGAATCAACCTAATATGATTTAGAGGGTGTTGGAAGTGATGGTGGAAGTGGCGGCATCAACAAACTGAAGTGCGGAATTGCAAATAGAAATTCAGGCAGCAACTTAGGCAAGACCACCTCTACCCCTTGGGGAACCTTGAGGTAAGGTTCATGAGAGGTTTATGAAGTTGGATCCTCCAATGCTTGCAAGAAAAATTAATCCATTAAAGGTAGAGGATTTGCTTAAATAGATGGAATAAATTTTCAAGCTTATGCAACTCTTTGATGATCAACAAGTGACACTTGCAAAATTTATGAGTGGATTATAGGGCAAGGTACAAGAGAGTGGATGAGATGCTAATGTTACTTCTTTTAAATGTAGAGTGGATGGGTATATTGTCTAGAATTGTCAAATGTGATTTGTTAGTGGAACTCAGCGATGTTATAAATGTGGGCAAGTTAGGCAATTTGCATGTGAGTGTCCGACTAGATCTGTTACATTACTTTTAGTGGGCATTTTAAATTCAGGGAGAAGAAATACATCAACGCCAGAGGATGAAAGGTGCTAGAAAAGGGCTTGCTAGTACTTCTGGGGCTTAGGGGCGAGTGTTTGCTATGATACAACAGGATGCCTATGTCTCGCCTAATCTGGTAACAGGTACAATTTCTGTTTTGGGTAAAAATGCTTGAATTTTAATTGACCCTAGTTCTACACATTCTTTTGTTGCACACACTTATAGAAAGAATTGGAAACACCTTACCACACCTTTGAATTATCATCTAGGATTATATTCACTAGTGGTCCCCAAACTATTCACGTTCTCATTTTGGTCTCCAACATTTCAATTGCATCAAATTGGTCCCCAAAGTATTCACGTTGATTTATTTTGGTCCCAGCCATAGACGCCATTTGCTTTTTGCCAGCTTCATCTCCACGTGCCATTCACATGGGGGGCAAAGTGGACATTGCACCCTACGTTTTTTGGGGGGAAACATTCCTGCTAACTCCTCCAATGCCTCCATGTTGCAGACGTTATAGCCTGTGAAACCGGAAAGAAGAAGTGGAGGGAAGAAGAGGAAGTGGAGGGAAGAAAAAGGAAAACGTGAGGGATGAAATTCATGTAATGGAGGAGTTGGCCAAAATGGAGGCAACACCATGCTATTGTAGGAGAATGGGGAAAATGCGGACTTCTTGGACTGCTACAAACCCAGGAAGAAGGTTTATTGGGTGTGAGAGATATGGGGTAATTCCTATTTTTATTTCATTTGTTAGTTTGGTATGAACATTTGAATTTTTTTAACAAAGTATTACATTGTTAGGAAGCTGGAGGTTGTGGATTTTTTGTTTGGTATGATCCTCCAATGTGTGATAGATCGAAGCATGTGATACCTAGGCTTTTGCGATCTCTCCAAAGACACGTTGAGCAACAACGACTGTCAAAAAATAGGGAGAAAATCTTATGGGTTGCTTTGTTTTTTTCATTGACAATTTTCATTCTCACTTGGGTGTTGTATTTCATGTAACTAGACTTTGTGAAGCTGTATGTAACTGTGTAACTGGATTGATGTTTTCTATGTAATCCCTTCTTTTTTTTTAAGAGAAAATTTTATTGCATTACATTCAAAAATGACAAGAATCAAAAACTGGAATTGTTTAATAGCCAAAATAGTAACTTTACAAAATAAACCAAAAATTCTGTTTCAGAAACCAAAGTATCAGGCTGCTTCGGGAATCAAAGCATCAGGTCTAATAAAAGAATAAGCCAGAAACATCTCCCTAAGCCAAAAGCATGATACAGAGAATATCATGCATGAAAACAGCCAGCAACCCTCTATAAAAGTATCTCCTACACAGAGCAGAAACCAACAGGAACCCACTGTGAAACACAAGAGAGTTGAAGATGACATTAGGAAAAGCGACTAGCAAAGTCCAAAGGCCATCAAGAAAGTGCAGAGGAAAGCCTAGGGAAGATAACCCCATGTACCTACATCTGATACGTCTGATACAGCAGCTTCGGCTTAAATGGCCGCTGAAACTAGAGAACACCCAACACAAACAAAATCCATAGAATCTCCATCCACATCTCTATCCCCAACAATGTATTTTATTTCATGATTCCTCAAAACCACCCCTCTTAATTATGTATAAATATGACTTTTCTTTTGTGGAATGCTTAATTGTTGGAATGTGAAAACATGTGACGTCTCAAAAAGTCCTTTTCGACTTATGGGTCTGTAGGAACTGTTCATGTGCCTTTCTAGCTGCTACTTAGCAGCTTTAGGCCATCAAATCACATAATATCTATTACTTAGCAGAAATTCAGTCACAAGATCACAGGCCCTAAGATCACAGGCTAATGACTACAAAACAAGCCAGTCACTGCATCATATACCAGCACATTTTTTGCTCTTAACACAGGAAGACACCTCTAATCATTAAAAACCCAAAAAAAGAGTTACACATATCCATTGTACCAAAAAACAAAGTTGCACATCATATCAACATGGCTGTTAACTCTCATTACAAACCCAAAAAGAGAGTTACACATATCCATTGTACCAAAAAATAAAAGTTGCACATCATACAACATGGCTGCTTTTTAATTGACTCTTCCTAAATGGCAGTTTTTCCCTTCGATTATGAATGAAGAAGGCTTTAGTTGCATTTCCAGTATTTGAAGTTGCTCCAGTGGTTGAAGCTTGAAGTTGTTCAAAGTAAGACCTTCCTACAAGTGATTGGCTTGCTACTACTGCTTGGCTCCCTCCTAGCACTGCTTCACTTGTTACTACTGATTGGCTCCCTGCTGGTACTGCTTGGCTTGCTGCTACTGATTGGCTCCTAGCAACTGCTTGACATTCTCCAGATTGGCTTCCTTCAGCTTGTAGTCCTTTTCCTTCTATTAATGCAGTAGTGCATGTCCTCCTGTTATGCCCATTCTTACCACATCTCCTACACTTAAGTGATACCAGCCCATCAACTTATGTGGCTGAAGTTTATTATTCATCTCATCTGGTTCCTTCCTTCGTAGTTTTTTTGGCCTACCAGGTTGTCTTCTGTTCAAAGGAGGCAATACTGGGGTAAGTCCACTTTTAGGGCACATCTTATGTCCATTAATTGGGTTGATAAGTGGTTCATATGCCTACATAAATGCCCCTTTCTTGTAGTGTCTAGTAACATAATCTTCTGGCAGTTGACCCCTATTCTAAATAGAAGCAATGGCACGTGGGCATGGGATTCCTGTCAAGTCCCATTTCCTACATGAGCATGTCTTCTCCTTCAAATTAACATAATATTGATCTCCATTCATACCCCTCACCTCAAATTTTAACTCAATATGCCAATCAACAATACAACCAAAACTGTCACCTTTCCATTTCTCTAACCTCTTCTAAATTTTAGGGCATATATTTCCACTATAACTCCTAGCCCATTCCCTCCTCCTTACCATTCTTTGGATTAAGTAGCATCTAATCCATTCTAGCATTTCCAAGATGGGCTTATCCCTTGCTTCCACAATTGCCCATTAAAGATCTCACATAGATTGTTTAACAAAATGTCACACTTTGGTTCTACTCTAAAATGTGACCTACTGCAGTACTTTGGTGGCTCATTGGCCAACCACTCAAAAGTCTTTTCATCATCTTCTTTAACTAGTTACGTCCTAAAGTCAAATTCTGGAATGTGTGTTGCCCTAGCACATTTCTAGAATTTCTTCCTAATACACAAACCCTTAAACTGTCTCATGAAATTGTTTAGCCGATGTCTAGCACAATGCCTATGTTCTGATCCAGGTAGGCTCTCACTCAGTGTTGGAAGCAAACCCTGTTAAATAAGAGGAAAAAAATCAGTACATAAAAGAATCAATCAGTTCATAAAAAATTCAGTATCTTCTACTTGTCAGTGATAAAGGTCCATTGGTTTTGGTTCTGGTGATTGATGCCCAAGTCAGTGGATAGTATTGCTAAGAACCATGCCCATGATTCCTTCATCTCAATCTCAACAACACAATATGCAATAGGAAACATAGAATCATTGGCATCAATACCAACTGCTGTCAATAACTGTCCACTGTAGGCTCTTTTCAAGTGGCAACCATCTAGTCCAACTACTTTCTTGCACCCTTCCAAAAATCCTCTCTTACATGCTGTAAGACAAATATATAACCTCTGAAATCTTGGTTTTACCTATTTGCTCATCTGCATGAGTATCCAAAACAACTGTCGAACCAGTATTAGCACTCCTTATTTCCTCAGAATAATCCCCTAATCTACCATACTGTTCAATGTCATCCCCATGTATCAATAGCATTGCCCTTTTCTTTGCTTTGTATAATTGATTCCTTGTTACATCAACACGTAAATCTTGCCTAACCCTCTTTTTAAAAGCTTTTATAGGCCAACAGGGGTTGATTTTTCAGCTCCTCCAGATACATCAATGCAATCATCTTTGAGTTCACATTTCTATTAGTGTAAGTCTTCCCACATGTGTGCTTGCTAATGTATGTCTTTATTTGATATGTTTTCTCACCATCCACTCTAGAAGCATAAACAAGGCAACTACAACCCTCTTGACATTGTGCCCTTACCCTTCTCTTATCATTTTTGACCAACTTAAAATTTCTCTGATTTTTAATTGCATGTTGTCTAATAGCAGTCTTTAGCTCCTCAGATGTACCAAATAACATACCTAGCTTAAATTTTGGGTTTTCATTATCTTTGTTTTTCCTAAACACTTCAAATTTTGGTTTTTTTCTTGCATCAGTCTCTCAATCAGGTGAACTACAACAGCTTACAATGTCCTTAGAATCACCATCTGAGTCACTTAGGTCTAAGCCATGCCTTATGTCTGTTACTATTGTTTTTTGGCTCTTACTTTTCAAACCATTCCATTTAGCTTCATGATCAGCACAATTCTCATACAACATGTCATCATACTCACTTTTATAATCACTATCAACCAAATCTTCATATTCACTGCATTCAGATTCTGATGCTACCCTATACCCTATGCCATTGTCATCAATTGGGTGATCACCATCAACAGAATGATTGTTTTTGCCTCTAGATGATTCAGTCTGACTCTCTAGTAATTTAATACCTCCTATATGTTTAAAATATACTTGAGCTACCCTATTTTTATGCAAATTATATGACATATCCAATACATGTTCATCACTACTCATATGTACTAGCCCTTTGTTCAAATCCAACCCAGGAAGTTTGTAGTAAAATCCAATATATGGAGCATAACCAAGAGTATTAGCTATATCATCTGAGCGACAACAGTTTACAATCATAGTCATCTATGTAATTTATTTTGCCCCTAACATAAGCTTTGTTTGGACTCTCTGTAAATTGACCACTGTGGTGAACCTCCACTGAGAAAAGTGAAGAATCATGGCTTAATGGTTTCCAAAAATAAGTAAATATAAAATTCATATTGCATAAACAAGTGGTTTCCAGCAACCACATAAACCATAAAAATATTGCAAAAAAAAAAATTTGTTTTGCATAAAAAAATATGTTTGACAACATCAAGACCATTTTATATTCAGTTGCACCCATGAAACTAAAACCCAAAACTATAAAAAGCCACCACATACCATAATGGGGAACATTGTATGATCCTGCCTAATTTCCTTTCTCCTTCCTAATGCAACATACCATCTTTACACTATGATTCCCACTCAAAGAAGATGAGGACAAAGCTAATCACTCTTGTATTTTGCCCTGATGAACATTGGACATTTTGCCCTAAGTTGGAGTTCTCCCCATTGTTGTCGTTGAAATGGAAGTGAAGAGGCAATTCATCACAGCCTTTGACTGGCTAAGCAAGAGATGTAAGGTGCAATGTCCACTTTGCCCCTCACATGAATGGCACATAGAGACGGAGCCAGAAAAAAGCAAATGGCGTCTGTGGTTGGGACCAAAATAAATCAACGTGAATACTTTGGAGACCAATTTGATGCAATTGAAATGTTGGGGACCAAAATGAGACAATGTGAATAGTTTGGGGACCGCTGGTGCGAATAACCCTATCATTTATCTATAGCAATTTTAGAACCCGAGAAAATTTAAATTTTTATTGTGAATGGCAAAATGATAATTAGTCGTTATGGTATAGGTTGAAAATCTTAATATTTCTAGAACTCAGATGACAAAATAGATCTCACCGTTGAATTTGTCTCACAAAAATCTAGTTACTCAGTTAATTTTCCTTGAATTTTGAGACAGTCAATTTTTTCACGTTTTATGATGCGATCAATTTTTTTGTGTTTTACTATGCGATCTCGTTTCACTGGATATTTATTAGAGGTATTTGTTTCAAGTTTCAAGGATAAAAGCACAATGCTTTACCCTAGCAATATATGATTCCCCTTGGCACAGACAATTAATAAGTTAGCTTGTGAGCCTTAGACTTGAGGATAAGGTGATAAAAGAGTTAGATCTGTCTTGGGTAGTTTGTGAGTATGCGAATGTTTTTTTGGATGAGTTACCAGGATTCCCTCCACGTCGGTATGTAGAATTTTCCATTGAATTACAACCCGATGCATCCCTTATTTCTATGACGTCGCATATAATGACATTTACAGAGTAGCAAGAATTATTGGACAAAGATTTCATTAGAACAAGTACCTCACCTTGGGGTGCTTCGGTATTGTTTGCCAAGAATAGAAACAAGACCCTTCAAATATGTATTGACTATCGGCATTTGAATTGAGTCACCATCAAGAATAGGTGCCCACTACTGTAGATGGATGACTTTTTTGGTCAATTGAGAGGGGCATGGGTTTACTCCAAAATAGATTTGCGCACAAGATATCATCAGTTGAGGATTAGGGAGGTAAATATCCCAAAGACGACATTTAGAATGCGTTATGGGCATTTCGAGTTTAATGCGATGCCATTTGAATTAACGACTGCCCTACCGGCATTTATGGATCTCATGCATAGGGTGTTCTAACCCTACTTATATCAGTTTGTTATGGTTTTTGTTGATGACATCTTGATCTAGTCCAAGTTTGAGGGGGAACACGAGGGTCACTTGAGGATTGTTCTCTAGACCTTGAGAGACCACCAGTTGCACGCTAAGTTCTGCAAGTGTGAATTTTGGCTAACAGAGGTAAAATTTCAGGAACACATAGTGTCAACTTTGGGTGTTTTAATTGACCTGGAGAAGGTTGAAGCAGTCATGAGTTGGGAGAGGCCAAAGTCAATTTTTGAGATACGTAGTTTCTTGGGATTAGCAAGGTATTACTAGAGGTTCATTGAGAACTTCTCCCAATTACCTACACCTATGACGAGGTTGACTAAGAAAGAGGTCAAGTTTTAGTGGGATGAATTGTTTGAGAGGACATTTTAAGAGTTACAGAGGACGCTTACTCTAGCTCCTATTCTGATAGTATTAAAGAAGGGATAGAGGTAAATGGTATATCGTGGTGCCTCCAAGGATAGACTTAGATGTGTTTTGAAGTAGTCTAGGAGAGTGGTAGCTTATGGTTCTCAACAGCTAATGAGTCATGAGTAGAACTACGCCACTTATGACATGGAGTTGGCGGCCGTCGTCTTTTTGAGGTATTTTCGAACCACAAGAGTCTGAAATACATCTTCACTTAGAGGGACCTCAATATAAGGCAACACAGGTGGATTGAATACTTAGAGGATTATGACTTCACTTTACATTAACATCCTGGTAAGGCAAATGTGGCAACTGATGCGCTCAGTGCTTGACAAAATTCCTTGTTGTTTCCTAACCTCTAAATATCACCTTTTAGCATGTATAGTATATGAATGAAGGGGAGTGTCACTCTCCTAGGGATGATTTCAAAAGAAAGGGCAACGGAATGGTGGATGAATGAGATTTCAAATATGAGTATGTGTGAACAAAAGTGCTCCCCAAGCGCAAGGAGACTTTCATGGATTGTGTTTTACTTGGAGGTATTCCAAGGTTGTTTTCCACGGGGAAGGAAGTAAACCGAGGAGAAGGTGATTTTGGGAGAAAGAAATTGTAAAATCTTTGATTGTTGGAAGTTGTTTGGTGAAGTTGTTTTGATGCTAGTAAAATGAGAAACAAATGTTGGCAAATCCAAGAGGTCACTCCAATAGGAATACCGTCTCAACTCGATTGATTCGTGGGAAGCTAGGGGTAAGATTAGTGAGTATCTAAGCATAAACTGTGACTAGACCTACGGAATATCAAAGACTCACCAAGCTATCCACCCTCAACCCAGTTAAACCGAACCATTGAACTCTGAAAGAGGGGAGGAGAATGAGTTGAAATAGTATACCCAAGTGGAGGTTCCTCTTGGTTTTGTCAACTAAGAGATTTAGCTATTCATGCTTAAAATAAAGACAACAATATGATGAGAAGACATTATGAAAAAATAAAGACTAGAGCAAAGCATAAATGAAATGCATAAATATAACTTCCCGATAATCACCTCTTACTAAAGATTGGATGAGAAACTGCCCACTCTTCATGGCTTTGTTAAAACTAGAAAAGTGAGTGATGCTCATCCCTCAAAGTAGAGGACTTACAAGGTAAAACAATTTACACAAGGAGCCGTCTTCGACAAAGAATGAGTGAATCACGTTCCACCCTTCACGGCTTTGGTAAAGCTCTAGAAAAGTGGAAGAGTTCCACTCCTCTAAGGGAATAAGGAAGCTTAAGCAATGGAAATAATAGAAAGCAATAACACAATAAAAGAAAACAATACTTAAAGTAAAAGAAAGCAATAAATTAAAAGAAAGCAATAATACAATAAAAGAAAGCAATAAGCAATAAGGAAAGCACATTTTGGACCATTAACCTTCATTCCCAAAACACATTTTCCACAACTTTGTCATTATTAGTCAAAATTTAATCCGAGTCATCGCTTGTGTCTATGTCATTATTAGTGACCCTTCCCACTTCTTGTCGCACATAACGTGTAAGTCCCGAACTGCTATAAGATGGCATGTCAGGAAAATCCTTACTTTGTACATACACTATTCAGTTTAATCGATCAGTTGCACGACCCAAAATTATTTCAAAACACTAATTGTATTTTTTCATATGAAAACACCTGCCACATTGTTTACAAGCACCCAGCCGTTTGGCACGACGACGTTTAGCAAAAGTACTTCTGCCACACAATGGTTTTGCTTGTGCTTATCGGATTTTAATTTTTCTGACTACTCTTGCTTTTCTCATGATCACAGCATGCACATCAGATGGAAATGTGCGCAAGACTCCCAAACTAAACCAAAAAATTTTAACATCCATGCTTTCTATGCTTTAAAACTCACTATCTGTTTCCTTAACGTCTGCTAGTCACAAAGACGATTGAAGCTACATTTGATGTGATCATGAAAATATAAGCAAAAATATTGTAAAAATACGCAATCCTGAACAATCTTTTTTTTTTAAATACGAAACTATAACAAACTGGAATCGTAGATCACACCCCCAATCTAAACCGAACATTGTCCCCAATGTTTCAAATTTACCAGTGTGGAGTTTGGAGATCAAGTTGTAGGGTAAAGATTTATTCAACTGTCAAAACCTACAAAACAAATACACAAATTAATCTTCTCTACGCAGATCTGGGTTTTCACTAGGACGAAAACCCTTGATTTTAAATGTAGACAGAAGAAGAAGAGCCATGTACAAATAGAGTAAACAAATACCGATCATGAGACAAACGAATGAGTCTCGGGGAATATGGTCATGGGATTGTTGGGAGTTGGGTCGTGTTATAGAGAATAGCATAACAGAAATAAGAAGAAGAAGAAGACGAAGACGAAAACGAAGAAAGAGGGAAAGGCGGTGGGTGTAGAGATCTGTTTAGCGCCGAAACCAACAAACAAAACACAAAAATTAACCCACTTGAGGGAGATTTAGGTTAGGCTGGAAACCCCTCACCCTAAGTGTAAGCAGAAAAAGAGCACCCATGAACAGATACAAACATATAAGACAAATTATTAAACAAAAGACTGGGTCATCGGCGTATATGGTCATGGATTTGCAGGGGGTGGGTTGTTTTTACAGAGAATAGAGAGAACGACGAAGAAGAAAAAAAGAGGAAGAAAGAATAAAAAGAAGGGAAGAAGAAGGGGAGACCAATCACTGGTGGATGGGAGAAAAAATT